ATTTTCGCAACGAACACAATTTATGCGCATTTCCTGGTCAAAGGATCAAAGCAGCGGCCGGCGGCGGGCGGGCGGACGCATAACCGGTTCTAACCGGCAGCATGGGCGTCTTATTGTTCCTATTGGGAACCTTACACAGAAGGTCTGTGTCTTGCATACGTCTCAGTCATTCATCCATGCGCTTACCCGGCTTCCTCCTACCCTGGCCGCAAAGCGCAAGCCAGTGCTTCCCATTGGGAAGTAGCTCACCAAATACCACACCAAAGCGACGAGCTGCACAATCGCCGAGAATAGAGTCAAAATCGTCGAGTGGAGCTGATGGCGGTGTGAGCAGTGTCTTCCAGCATCGTAACACGGACTAGAGGGGACTTACTCCGACCGCGAAGTAGATGGTCATGATGATGGAGCCAAAATAAGCGGCAGTAAAGGGGAGTCGAGGGCCTGAGATGAGATGCATAGTATACTGCATGGGTCCCATCAAAACCGCCCAGCTCGAGAGAAACATTAGAGAGCCGACGCTCCAACTGTCGAGACGCGTCAGCCACAACCCCGAGTGAGATCGACCACATGCACGAATTCGCATTCCCAGTCGACAGATCGACAAAAGAGCAGGGGTGGTTGCCAAGTGTGGCATTGTAAACTCAAAGATAGAAAACTGCTGACATCATCATGGGTTTGCGCGTTGTCACATGGCCCATGATGGGCGCGTAGTGGTGTGCAGCGAATACCGTGGTGCCGGAAGTAGGTTTGGGACACTCACAGAATGACAAATTTGCGTGGCTTCAGGCTCAAGACTATCATTCATGTCACATTAGCATCGCCTTGAACAGAAGGTTGAGAAATCACGTCTCCGCAGGTACAATCGTTCCGTGCAAGGAGACAGTTACGAGAACTGAAGAACTTACCAGGGAACAATGCAAAGCAGATAACGAAGCATGCTAGAGCCGCCAGATTGCATCCACCAAAGATCATCAGGCGATCCCATCTGCTCACTGTAGACTCGCAGACGTCAGTGAATTCGGAGCCCCGTGTTCTACGTCTGCTTCGTATAATGTCGGAGACACAATAGTCATGCGCGAAGGCGACTCACATGCGAACCAGCCCTCTTCCTCTTCCCTCCTAGACGGCGCCGGTAGTGGTGCCCCGGGAGCCTCGTGCGTGGGTAATTGGACATAGCCTTGTCTTCCAAACGGATTCAGCGACGAAATCTTTGACAAAATTGGAGTTGACGACGAGGTAGTGGCCGGCACATCCGGGTCTCTTCTTGACCACCCCAACGAATTCATCGAGTCTCGGAATGTCGACGAGGCCATGGCAACCGGTCAGTCCTCCTTCAGGTTCTGCCGGCCGGGACGGTGAGTCAGTCTGTACAGGACGTAGCACCTGATGGCAATCAACTTTGCCCACTCTTGATCCTTTGGTGCTTGGAAGATATGCCGCTAGCTCCTTTGGAAGCTTCAAGACCCTGTAGCTTGCCAGGTGAGGAAAGGTAGACAACAATTGGAGGAGGGAAGTAGTCGACGATTGGAAAGCTTCGTGCTAGTGCAGCGCAGGGTTCTCGCTTGTGACCAGAATCCAGTCAAGGCTGATCTTGTGGATAGCAGGGACAAGTTAGCGAAGAGCAACGCTGTGTAAAGTCCACCTCCTCCGGGCGCATGTAATTGAACTTGTGTGTGGAGGGAGTAGATAGGATGGCCAGACCGGAGGGAGGCGCTGTGCCGGATGCCTGCAGTGGCTGCTCTGCAAGGTAACGGCCACGGGGTTCACCGACGTTGTAGAAGGCGGAGAAGGATTCTCAAGGTTGATTGAGGCGGGTGGATATGTGGTAGGGGCGTCGCGGGTGTCGAGGCAGTCGAAGTGGCCAGGGCGCGTAAAGGCAACGCAGAGCAGGCTGCTGTATCGAGCATAGAACAGATTCGGAAACTTGCGAAAGGGTGAGTGACGAAAGCAAGTCCGGCAAGCGTAGATCAAGCTGCCACCGCTACCCTAAAACGAATTCAGCTAACCTTGACAACTTGACAGGCCGTGTCCCCAATCATTCATCTTCGCCTCTCCTCATGCAGGACTCCTCGACTGCCCACCACCATGTATGTATTTCCTGCATGTGCAGTAGAACTGACCCAGTGATACGAAACTAAGCCTTGGACAGACACAAAAGTGCTCTAAGCGCACCCCCGAGAGGCTGCGTCCGCCGCTAACCAACGGTCGAGCCCACTCCTGCTGCTGTCTAAGGACTCATCACTACACGGTTTTGGTAATGCGCGATTGGGGTTGGAGCGCCTAGCGAGTCCAGCCAAGCTGAGGTTGGGGACCTTCGGATGGAACGAACCGATGGCAGCTCGCGCTTTGCGGGCAGGTTTGCCAACACGAGATCGGCTTGTCAATCCACCGTCCGATGCAATTCAGCCACCTGAACCAACACGAGTCTCTCGGTTCAGAGACATCTTTTGGCTCCAGGGCACACGCCGCACGGAGCCTCTGTCCTACTGCTACTCTGCAGGATTGAGGCAAACGCACTACCGAAGGTATGCAGATGCTCGATGCACGCCAGATGCAGAACATGCCGGGGTTGTCATACTGGCCTGCTTGAGGCGATCAGGGACTCAAAAGGACGAACATGGCCTATGGGACAGTTTCCTTAGATCTAATCGCCGTGTGATGTCGCACAGCATTCCAGGATGAATGGAAATGTTCGTGAGCCAACCCGTCCACACTGTTGCCACAGGACGTGCCCTGCGCTCCGCCGGCCCAGGTTGGAGGCGGCCTGGGTGGGCATGGCAGGCTCCGAACACTGTAGTCATCCGCAAGCTTGATGACCTTTCTGGAACACCATGAGGACGCACTTCGCAGCCTTGACGGGCCTGCTTAGAGGTCGATTGTGGCTTGGTCCGACCTCCACTACCCTGAAAAGCGAGCGAATGATCCTGCTGGGGGGCGACTGACCCTTTTTGCCCAATTTACCACCACTTCCGCTGGTCTACTGATTTAGTGACTGCCTTGCTACAAGTCATGCCGGTCAAAATCCGCCCGGAAGGGTGTACTCGATCATGGCCATCACGGTAAAGGCCGAGTTCGCCGCGAGTGATGACCTTCTACATCATCATCTAAGACATCAGGAAAGTTGGCAACCATTGTAGATAGACTCACAAGGGAGTCTTCTCCGAGCCGGCTGCCTTGTCGGCCGCGGTCTTCACAGCAAAGTTAGGGTGCACACCCATGCGGGATCCACCCGCTTCCTCATCCCGCTCATATCAGACCAGGTCCAAGCCCTGTGAATGCCCATTGATTGGCTTCCCGTTGGCCTCCGGGACCCTGCACGCCGCCTCATGTGGCTTTGCGGCAACAGCAGGGAAGGACGCAGTGAAGGTGAACGGGGTGAAAGGGTGTGCAAGCATAGGCAGTGGGGAAGGGTACACTGTAGCAGCGTGTGAATGCAAGAGGGCAGCCTGTTTCAGTAGTCACACACACAGCCTTGCATGCATATAAAGCCGCTGCCGATCCGGGCTGGCCGTTGCAAAGACTATCTGTCCAGATCTTCCTACGTAGTCGCATTGAGACCCTGAATTCCTATCAGGGCGTCGTCGCTCCTCAGCCGCTGCTGTTTATCTTGCATACCATCATCACCTGCAACATCTCACCGATTGCCCCTCCAACTGGTCCCCGCCATTGGCACCTTGAGAAAATCTTAGCTCTCAACTCATACTTGCACTGGAAGCGCTCAAGCTGTCCGTCAAGAAACCCTGCCAGTCAGACGTCAAGTCTCAGCTGTCACCTCACGGTGCACAGTCCAATCGACGTCCTCGTGGCATATTTGACTCAAAGGACTGACCTGTGCTCTCACGACAAGCAAGTTTCACCCCCAGCCCCGCCTCTTGCCAAGCTCGATTCGAGGCCAGATCTAGCCCGAAATTCGATTGGCTGTCTCGATCTTAGGGCAGCTTAGGCGGTTGGTGGCTTCTCCGTCGCTTCACTGCCAACCATACAGCCCCCTGTTCTGTTCTCCAAGTCCGTCCCGGCTTCCCTCTCCAGACTGGAAACCCATCCCGCTCACTGGCAGGCGGTCACGGATAGTCGGCCTCTCCCAAAATTCACTGCACCTCCCCACCCGTCACTGTCACTGCCACAACCTTACCTGACTGTACTCGTAACCTCCCTCCGCACGGACATCGAGTAACCACACACCGCATTCTACCCTTTAAACAACAACCCGGAGCCTCGCCATCCCGAACACAGTGTTCATTTCGCCTCCCACCGACTAATCCGTCACGACGACTTCTGGTCTTCGCAACCACGACACTGTCGCTTGCCTCTCGCCGTCCGCAATACCTGGAGTCATTTCAGCTCCGCCTGTATCCTATCATCGCCTGTCCTGCCCCTCGACTCGACCGATAGTGGCCACCTACTCCCTCACCGCACTCAGCGCAAGTCCGAGAAGTCTCGCCGGTCAACCCGCAAGGCCCCTCGGTTTGCGCACCCTACACTCGTAAGGCCGTCTTTGGTATACCACAGCGCATTAGAAAGAGCAGCATCGACGATTCGGGTCAGATACCACCCCAAACACGCACCGCAGTGGGAGATCAATCTGCACCTGCTCGATTTCGGACAGCTGTTTCGCTTCGGACAGCACAACCTCCCACCTTGCAAAGCGTCGCTTGTGACGGAATAAGGCCGGCATCTGCGTGTCATCGCTGACAGCGCATATTGCCGTCAGCCCTGTCGCTCGCAACCATTGACGCTCTTGGCGTTGAATTCATCGCTTGACCCGTTCGTCACCTTCCACACGGTCCATTCACTCGCAGCTCCACGGGACGGGATTACCCTCGCTAGCCGGACGTCCCCTTCACTCACACGCGCATCACCGAATCAGCAATTCCGATGGCTATAGCCGCTTGATCTGACCTGTTCGCTGAGTGATACCCGACCGGCAGCGCAAGCTAAGACTTCGAATTTATCTACGCTGAACTTCGTTCAAACCTTTTGGATTCCTTCACTGTGGGATCATGACACACTCTTCTGCTGGGATGCCTTACATCAAGAGCGAGCCCGATGACTTCGGCAACAACCCAAACCATTTCAGGTCATCGTCGAGTTTTGGCATCTCTCAAGGCTACGGTAACCAGTTCACCAATCAGCACACAAGCGCAGGCGTAGACCCCAACGACCTCACCAATTTTGGTAGCGTGCCATATAACTACGGAGGAAACAACATGTCCTCCGGTTTCAGCATGGGAAACTCTGGCTACGGCGAGGATGAATTGCTGGATTCCCTGGGCTTTTCCAACAACGATGGCGATGGCATGTTTAATGACTTCACCACCCTAAACCAACCCAGCAACAACAACAAGGGCGCCGGCGCCGTCCAGATCAATTCTCAGAACCAGATGCCCAATATCTACTCGAGTACACCCGACAATGCTCCCATTCAAAGCCCATTCCTCAATGGCTTCGACTACAGCCAGTTTCGACCCATGGGCTCACTGCCACAGCACATGCCTTCTCATCAAGGGCCTCAGCACAAGCGCCCAAGCATGACCTCGATTCGGAAATCATCAGACCAGCGATCTCCCCTAAGTCCCCGACCAGCGGGAATTGCAGGCCTCCAGATTGGAACTCCGGAGTCGGGAAATCTTGCAAACGGTCGTCCCATCAGAGCGCCCCATGCCAAAACTATGTCTGGACAGTACGACAGTACACCTGGCAGTTTGCAGTCATACATTGACTCTCCGCTGTCGTCACCTGGAAACGGCATTCAACATGCCGGGATCTCCGAAACACTAGGCCCTAGCCACCACGCCTCGCTACCGGCCAAGGTTGAACATGGCTTCAGCACCAGCAATGCAGAGACCGCCGAGGCGAAGAAGCGAAGAAGACGAGCCTCTCACAATGCCGTCGAGCGCCGACGGCGAGACAATATCAACGAACGGATCCAAGATCTTTCACACTTGGTCCCACAACATCGTCTAGACGACGACAAGGTCAAGAAGCAATTGCAAAGCAATGGACCGATGTCGCCCAATGTCGGTGCTACGAGCATGAGTCCACCCAATGCCAACAACGCCGCTACCTCTTTGCTCGTAGGTGCCGCCGGTCGTCGTGCTGCCAGTAGTGCTGGCAATATCACAATCGGGCTTCCAATCGAGGAGAAGGAGAAAGGTCCCAACAAGGGTGACATTCTCAACGGCGCAGTCTCATGGACCAGAGATTTGATGTGGGCGCTTCATCAAAAGTACCAACAAGAGGATGAGCTTGCTCAGTACATTCAGTCGCTTGGTGGTCAATGGCCCTTCCAAGTGACGGATGATGAGAAACGCATGCGCTCGGAAGTCTTGGAAGCCATGGAGAAAAATGACCCCAGCACTTTCTCTTACACAAGAACTGATGGCACCGGCCTGCGAGTCCCACGCCACACTAATCTCGCCGGCGAGCGGATCCAAAATCGCAACAATCCCAGCCTCAGTCCACAGAGTAACTTTGAACTCAGTCCCGGTTTCCACAGCGGTGGCAGTGGCACCAACAGTGGCAGCGGGGGCCCTGGACAACCACAGTATTGGAACAGCGCTGGACACCCGGGCATCAGCTTCAAAGAAGAAGACGAGTTCATGGAATTGAATTGATGAGCTCCTACGACATTTGTCATTCACGTCAGAAATGTTGTCCAAGAACCCTGTGCAGACATGCAGGGAGATAGCACGGCTCATCCGCCCAGCTCCTCTTTCGTTGCAAGGATCACAGCCCTTGCCTATCATTTGCATTATGACAAAGGGACCACATGGGCTAAGGATTTTCAACACCTGCGAGCTTTTGCGTATGCCCTTTACTCTTCACCATCACTTTCACGGAACGGGGAATGAGACGTCTGGGGATCTGGGGGTTGGGGCGTGAGGTTTATCGTTCTGTCATTTCAGTTGAGCCTTGCGATTGATACCCCCTCGTTCTGATCTTTCTATTCCCTTTGTACTCGGCGCAATTTTATTGGGGGCGGCCCAGGCACAGATGTATTGTAGGTAGAGACAGGTAGCGCACGAATTGATAACAAGATCAAGAGCGAGCAGACGAGGTACTTGAGCGTCTCTCCTCCAGGATCTCTCTGATGCGAATGGTTAGCCCAGTCCTACTGCAAACAGCCTAAACTCGAATCTCGGTGTAGATGCGATCGGTCGCTGGCACATCGAACCGCCCGTGACCCAGTCGCGTCTATGTGCCTTATCCGAGGGCGGCACCGGCACCGGCGCAGCTGCAATCGTGGTTGAACGTGGCGGCCGCCTCCAAGCATTGGGGTCGCTGGGGGTTGCCCCTGGATTTTCCCGCGTCTCCAACCCAGCAGATCCCAAATTTCGCAGCGTGGTCGGAGACGGACTGACCTGCACCTCATATTTCCGTCACTTGTCGAACATTCAGTCAACTGCTCATCTGCGTGGACGTCTGGTGTTGCGTGGTCGCTTCAGTCCTTCGACATACCTTTCCTCCCTCATCTGGTCCTCATCTTTTACGTCGCCGGCGGCACTGTGAGCTCATCTCTACCCCCCTTGCGCTCCCGCAGCTGGTGCTGGCATAGGCCTTGCAAACAGAGGATAAAGCACACGACACCACAAGAGACACGATGACGACAGAAAAGCCCTTAGGCTTCGGCTACCAGATTGCTGCCGGGGCTATCGCTGGTGTGTCGGAGGTACGTCTAAGAGCAGGCCCCTTGCTGAAGAAAGAAGCAACCGATCTGAGGTCTGGCTGACGCACCAACAATGTAGATTCTCATCATGTGAGTTGCCGCCGCCCATCGCGCGCACACACAAACGTGTGCAGCAAAGACGCAATGCACGACGGGCGCGAGACGCAAGCTATGTGCTGGATTCTGACATGCGCTTCTCTAGGTATCCACTGGACGTTGTCAAGACAAGAGTGTAAGCTTCCACCGACGCTCTTCATGCCGCCGCGCTCGTGGCACACACAACTTGGCTAACCTGGTCCTTCCTGCAGCCAGCTCCAGGGCAAGGTTTCGATCCCCGGCCAAGACTACTACACCGGCATGGCCGACTGCCTGCGCAAGATTGTCAAGAACGAAGGCCCGTCGCGCCTGTACCGTGGCATCGCCGCCCCGATCATGATGGAGGCGCCCAAACGAGCGACCAAGTTCGCAGCCAACGACTCGTGGGGCGTCTTCTACCGCAACCTCTTCGGCGCGCAGAAACAGACGCAGCCGCTGGCGATCTTGACCGGCGCGACCGCCGGTGCGACCGAGGCGTTCGTCGTCGTCCCCTTCGAGCTCGTCAAGATCAGATTGCAGGATCCCGCGAGCGCAAGCAAATATAACGGCATTGTGGACGTGGTGGCCAAGACAGTCAAGGCGGAGGGGCCTCTGGCGCTTTATAACGGCCTGGAGTCCACGCTGTGGAGGCACATACTCTGGAATGCCGGCTACTTCGGCTGTATTTTCCAGGTCAAGTCCCTGATGCCCAAGGTCGACAAGTCACAGCGCGGGAAGGCCATGTTGACCGATTTCGTCTCCGGCACCATCGGAGGCACGGTGGGCACGATCCTCAACACTCCCATGGATGTCGTCAAGTCGCGCATTCAGAATTCGCCAAAGATCAACGGCCAGGTGCCCAAGTATAACTGGGCGTGGCCTGGATTGGGCACCATCATGAAGGAGGAGGGTTTCGCGGCGCTGTACAAGGGCTTCTTGCCCAAGGTGTTGAGACTAGGTCCTGGGGGAGGTGTCTTGCTAGTGGTCTACACCGGCGTGATGGATTGGTTCAGAAAGATGGGCGCCCAGCCGATCGGTTAGAGAAGGGAAATCTAAACGAGACCATTTTCGACACGCGGTCTTGCTTGCGTTCCTTCCTCCTCTGGCGAGAACCGTTTCACAAGGGGCGCAGGAGACGCCTGGAGTGGGAATGATGCTCACTTCAGACTTCGCCGGACAGTGGTTCATCCGCTTGAATCTACGTCTCTCAGCATCGCTGAGCGTGTTCGTTGCACGGAAGGAGATCGGACTTGGACGCCCTCAGGCCACGCCGAAAGTCAGCAGAACGGTCTATTTGGACATAGGGGCTCGGGGACTCGTCAGGCGTGACGAAGGTGAAGAGACTAGGCTGGACATACATATATCAGCGAAGCGATTGTCTTGCCTTGTTTGAAGCCAACATGCACGTGGATTCTACTTCGGGAAAGAAAGGGTTAAGAGATAGATTTTTCAGGACTAGAGAGCCCCTGCAATGCTCGCTTTCCCAGTACCGAATCATGCATAAGTCGTACAGTACAATCCGTGTCCATTGCTGCTCTGATTTGGAGCTCCTTCAAGTCCGCCGAACGAACCCCATTTGCTATGCCGACGCTGCTGCTGATTCTCCGTTCAACTGCCCGTAGCCAAGAAATGTATACCTTTTTGTACAGTCCAAGTTTTTACCCATCACCATAGGTACCGTAACCAGGAATACTCGACCTGATCAAACAAAGGCCTTCTTTCGTCTCTTCACTTTGCCCGCCTGACATACCACCGATTTCTCGTGCCTTCCTCCAGCTCGACAACGACTCTCGGTGCCGGACAAGATTTCGATTGCTGCTTCAGACTTGGTTTCTCGTCTTCTCTCTCCTCGTGACGAACTGGATTTTCCCTGGACGGGTCATTCTTGACAGACATACACCCATTCTCAACCTTCATCTCCACTGGACTCTCGAGTGGCACTTCTACCACCTGGCCGGTCGAGTTCGGCGCGTTATCTGCTCCCGCTATTGGCGGGATTTCTTGACCGTTCACTTTGATGACGACGACCTCGGGTGCCGGGTTCATCGTCAGGCTTGGGAACTCGGTTGATTTCTGTCGAATCTGCAAAGGCCTCTCGGGTTTCACTGGTGAGGAGCCATCATCCTGCCGCTTGGGTCGATTTATCTCGTGGCTTCGATCTGAATGCGGCTTTGGCTGGGACCGTTTCGGATCGGACGCCTTGCCGCCTGTCCAGAGTCTTTCGCGCAGTGCGTCCTCCCAGCCGGCGCGCCGCGCAATCTCCTCGAGGATCAAGTCGCACTCGCCGAGCAACTCAATGTCCACCTTGACGCCCTCTCGTTGGCAGCGGTCCTTGCTGATCCAGATTTGAGGCACTGTGGGCGGGATGTTGAGGAGCATTTCGTTGACGGGTTCGACTTTCAGCGACGTGCCGATGATGACGAGCAGGTCTACTTTGCTTTTGTCGAGCTTCAGACGAGGGGCGTAAGAGTCTGCAATTTCTTCGCCGAAGAACGTCATGTCGGGTTTGAGCAGACCTTTGGGGAAACCAGCCCTTCCATTGGACTCTTCGGAGTCGCTGTCTTCGTATTCGTCTCGTTTCCGCTTCTTTCTGCCCGTCCGTCCGCGCTGCTTGGTCTTAGTGGACGGCCTCGGTCCTCCGTCCTCGAGCGAGCATTTGCAGTAGGGCACACCTCCGGCTTGGACCACAGGCATGTATTTCCGTGCTGTAACCCTCTTTCCGCAACTCATACAAGTGGCCGTTCCCAATGTCCCGTGGCACTGAATCAACTTGGATTGCGACACACCAGCGGCCATCTCGAGGCCGTCGATATTTTGAGTGTAATTCGTCAATAACTTGCCCTTGGCTTGTAGCATGGCAATGAAAGCGTGCGTCGGACTGAACTTCGGAACCAGTGGAGGAGCAGCAGTGCCATTTGACGGCACGAGACCCTGCATCTTGGGGAACACCTTTGCGGCTTGCTTGAAGAATTCTTCCGGGTCGGCCTTGAAGTTGTCGATGTGGAAAAGCTCCTGTGGATCGTCGTATACCGAGTCCTCTAGGAGGTTGTACACGCCGTTCGCGCTACGAAAGTCGGGTACGCCCAAAGAAGTCGAAATGCCCGCACCGGTCAAGATGATGATATTTCTGGACGACTTGAACAGTGAGACAGCGTGATCCAGCGTGTAGTATTGGTTGAGCCGAGGTCTGATCTGCGGTGTCTTCTTTGCCGGCGACGAGAGCCTCCGAGGCGGGAGCGATGCTGCTCGGTCCACGAAGAGGTGGTGAAGCCGCAGGAGTTTAGATGGGGATGGCCGCTCAGGGGAGGTGTCAAAGTAAGAACTGCCATCTCGACGAGCAGGAGATTGAGGCGCCGAAGAAGCCATTTTGTCGGCCTCGAGACTTTGCTGTTGTATGTCTTGTTTCGATTTATTGGATGCGCCTCATGAAGGAGCTGCAGGCTACACATAACGGTCTGTCATCTGGCTTAGGTTGAGAGACTCGGAGTCGAAGTTCCGGCGACGGTGATCGGTAGCGGAAGACTCGAAGACTCGAGACGGGAACCGCCTAGTCATGACTGCCTGGCTTGTCGTTGCCTGAGCTGACTGATGAACTGGGCCTCGGTGTCTCCGTTCACCAGGGGCCGAGCGAACATAAGGACAACAGCAACCAAGAGAGCGAGTGCCGGTGTTTGGACTTGAAGGGGCTGAGCGTGCATGGGCTGAGCAGTTCAGGAGACGCCATCCATGCCCCTGAAGCTGGAGGCGGTGCTCGTGTCGCTGGTGGTGCTGCAAGTGGTGCTGCCGACGCATGACGTCATGGCACAGTCTATCACGTGAACTGGCGGGAGTTGTTCCACGTGACTCTTGTAATGGTACTTGTGACAGGCGACGCGGTCTCGTCTCTCGACGCGACTGAGCATGTGCAGCCGCGATTCTGCGACCTTTCCCTCGCTCACCGCAGTCTTTTTGGTACCGCCAGATCCTGGGCTATGATATCCATATCTTGACCGTCGCTATCATCATGCCATTGGCCCCGCTGGGTGTCACGTCGCAGTCCAGGAAGAAGCTCACGACGTCCGCGTCTCATGAAAGTCACTGTGCAGCCGAAGACAAGGAAAACCAGACTGCTGAGAGCGCCCTAAACAGACCAGAACGAGGTCATACGGATTGCGTCGACCGAAATGGACTTTCAGAACCCACGTTACCGCAGACACCCACCGTCCGAATACCTATCGAAGATCTGATCGCAAACACTGAAGACGCTTACAATTGTGCCCCTCCTCTCGCCACTCCAGTCGACCACGTTCTCTGGCAAACCAATCCAGCAAGTTCAACTTCGCTGGAAGCTGCTGAAGCCACCCAAAGAAGCAGGAAACGTGCTCACAGTTCTTCTCCCGCTTCGTCGCAGCAGCTTTCTGCACACAAGGATGCCCTAAATCTAGACACTCTGAACAGGTCCCTGCGCACTCCAAACAACGACCCGACGCAGGATCTGTGGAATCGCTACACTACTGCCAATGGGCTAAAAAAGGATCCCAAGGAACCTACGTTGCCCGCATACCCTCATTTGCTGCCGTCTTCCCCTCAGACACCCAGTACGACGGGTAAGGACGGTGGCCTACGGAGGACGCACAGCTGTGGAGTTGAGTGGCCTACGTCGAAGGCAAAGCGCAGGAGGATGGATGAGCAATACAGCCGAACAAAGGAGTTGTTCGCCGCTTCTCGAAAGGATATCTTGCGGCGCGATCTGTCCAACAACACCCGTGTCGGGCTTTTGCTTGAGAAGATTCAGGAAAGCCTGACCAAGAAGGCCGATGCGCCGGAAAGTCCTTCGAGCTCTTCCCCCCTCCCCGACAGGCGCTCGCAAGCGCTGGTCTCACCCACGAGGCCACCACATAGAACAAGAGGCGACTCTAACGGTCCTTGTGGTGCCACCTGGTCGTCTCAGAAAAGGTCGCCTCTGAAACATGGTGTTTCTCGTGATGCTTCTTTCTCATCGGATTTCAGCGATGATGCTTTCGACGCCGAGGCCCTCGCATGTGTCGAGCAGGTACTTGCCCAAACGCAGGTGAACAATGAAGCCAATGGTGGTGTGTCTCACGGTGGGAATGGTCCCTGGCAGAGACCCGCATCTCAGTCTCACGCCGCTGCTGAGACTGTCCACAATAATACAGCTCGAGATCCATACCAGCCTATCCCGGCGGAGGGGCGAACGCCACCGCAACCGCCAAAGATTTCAACAAAGGCAGATTTTGACGAGTTTGATGACGACGATGACGATGACTTAATGAACGAGATGCTCGACCTTGCAGCACAATATGACTCCCAACAACAAGCACCGGTGGCTGCACAGGGGGCTGTTGCATGTCCGACTTCGCAGACAGACACACAGACCAAGCACCTTGAAACACTTGACGAGTTTGAAGACGCCTTCGATGATGACGAACTATGGGAAGACATTGCGAACGCAACACAAAAGGGGAGGACGCCGGTTGGATCGAAGGATCATGTATGTTTCGCGATGCATTGAACTTGGTTGATGAGATGCATGCTGATAGGATATATAGACATCAAACAATAATCGAGCTATCAACCGCTATCTCATCCTTGATGTCTTTGATCACCAGTACGAATCCAAGCCAGGCCGTATGCGGCCTGAGAAGCTGCTCTCGGTCAAAGATGAGAGGACCAAGAGGCTCTATAATATCCTTCTACGGGAGTCTTGGTATGACACTCGGTGTACCAAGGGCTCCTACGTCCACATCATCGGCCGGTTCGATCGCACAGGCCGGTGCGTCGTTGACGATGCTGACAACATGATCATCCTCCACCCGGACCACCTCATCTCGTCGACCGTTGTCGGCGACTCCTTCACTTGCATGCGCCGCGCCGTCCTCCAAGACAGGGTCAAAGCAACCAATGCAGCTAGTCAGCCTCAAGTGTACGGCCACATCCTCCATGAGGTTTTCGGACATGCGTTGACGGTGAACAAATGGGACCGGCAAACGTTCCGAGAAATCATTGACAAGGTTCTGCCTTCCTACATTGAGTCGCTGTACGAGATTGGAGTCCGAATCCCAGATGCGACAGAGTATCTTCTAGGCAAGCAAAGCGAGCTGATGGGATGGGCGAGTGTCTTCGTCGGTGATAGCCTGTCTGCAGATGCTGTCATTCGTGATCGACACGGCGTCCTCGTGCCAGCAACCATCAACAAGCTGCTGGAGCTCGAAGAACATATCTGGTCTCCGATGTACGGCCTCAAGGGCAACATCGATGCCACAGTTCAAGCGCAAATGAGGCTGCCAAACGATGAAAAGCCTCGAACCCTCCTCGTACCTTTCGAACTCAAGACGGGCAAGAGAGACAATGTCGAGCAGCACCGTGTTCAGACCGCACTTTACACCCTCCTACTATCTGACAGATACGATATCAATGTCACCTGCGGCATGCTGTACTACCTAGAGACCAATAAAACATTCCGCGTCGAAGGCATCAGAAACGAAATCCGCCACATGATCATTGAGAGAAACGAACTGGCATGCTATGTCCACGACAAGCTGGCTTTACCACCAATGATCAAGAAGCAGCATATGTGCAAGAGCTGCTATTCGAAATCGGCGTGCTTCACCTACCATAAGCTATGTGAAGATGGCACGGCAGAATCTAGCGGCTTGGGCGACAAATTCACTGAGGTCGTCTGCCACTTGTCTCCTATCCATCAGACTTTCTTCAAGAAATGGGACGATTTGCTCACCAAAGAAGAGCGAGACTCGATGAAGTTCCGCCGAGAGCTCTGGACGATGCTGGGCTCAGAGCGAGAAGCCGTTGGTCGGTGCTTTTCAGAAGTGGTGATCCAGCCCGGATCGGCATTCGAGAACCCAGCGAGTTCAAAGATTAACAGATTTGAATACACTTTCGTCAAACAGAAACACCGACCAGGCTTCTCCTTTACCGAATCGCAAATCACCATTGGGGAGCCGATCGTGATTTCCGACGAGAAGGGACATTTCAACTTTGCGGCAGGATTCGTGACGAACGTGCGACCTAACAGAGTTGTGGTGATGGTCGACCGGCGGCTACAACGGGCGCAGCGCAAGACTGAAGGCTTTGACCCTGTTCACAACCAAGTCTTCGCCGCTCAGGATAGTGTAGGCCAAGGCCTACCATCTCCGTCTTCGCAATCTGAAGACCCTATCCTGTACCGCATTGACAAAGATGAGTTTGCGAATGGAATGGCGACAGCCCGGAACAATCTTCTCCGTATTATGGAGAAGGACCTCTGGCGAGCACACGAGCTGCGACAGCTCATTGTCGAAAACAAGGCCCCGGAGTTCAAGATCACGTCAACGGGTTACACGCTATCCGGGCCCGCATCCCAACAAGACCTCAATATTGATCAACGGAGGGCTCTGGAGAAGGTTATGAGTGCGAAGGACTACGCCCTGGTACTCGGTATGCCTGGAACCGGCAAGACCACGACCATTGCTCATATTATCCGAGCTCTTGTGTCCCAGGGCAAGTCGATCCTGTTGGCTTCCTATACACACACCGCCGTGGACAATATTTTGCTGAAAATCAAGGACGACAAAATCCCCATTTTGCGGATTGGAGCCGTCAATAAAGTCCACCCGGACGTGCAATCATTTGCGGATATCTCTGGCATACCCAAGCGGACAGTTGAGGAATTGCATGTGTCCTGGCACGAAAGCAAAGTTGTGGCGACGACTTGCTTGGGTGTGAATCATGGCATATTCAATGCCAGAACCTTCGACTATTGTATTGTGGACGAGGCTTCCCAGATAACGTTGCCTGTCTGTCTTGGTCCGATCCGAATGGCAAAGACCTTCATTCTGGTCGGTGATCACTATCAGTTACCTCCGTTGGTACAAAACAAGCAAGCCATGGATGGTGGACTGGATATCAGCCTCTTCAAATTACTGTCCGAGGCACAACCAGGCTCGGTCGTCAGTCTCGAACACCAGTACCGAATGGCGGAAGACATCATGCTGCTGTCCAAAGAGCTTGTGTACGCAGGCCGAATCAAGTGCGGCAATGAAGCCGTTGCAAAACGCATGCTGTTTATACCAGATCCGGATGCCGGGCTGGCAGCACACCATTTTACGGCGTCGTCCTGGCTCGGATCCGGCGACGGCACGCACGCCATCTGTTTCGCGGATGCCAGTTGCTGGCTTCAGTGTGCATTGGCTCCGTCCTCTCGCTGTCTGTTTCTCAACACCGACACGATTACTCCCAATGGCGCCGCTCGTGAAACAGTGGCAGGCGCCCGCATTACCAACGCAGTCGAGTCGATTCTGACGGCACAGCTTGTCACGACGTTGATTCAGTCGGGCGTGTCACCGCGGTCAATCGGCGTCATCACCTTTTATCGGTCTCAGCTCGCGCTCCTGAAAGCAGATGTCAAGTCTCTTGCCGGTTCTGTCACCGCCGGTGAGGTTGAAATGCACACGGCCGACAAATACCAAGGACGAGACAAGGACATGGTGATCCTCAGCTGTGTCCGAAGCAATGACCACAACCATGTGGGTGACCTCCTCAAGGATTGGCGCCGAGTGAACGTCGCAGTGACACGGGCAAGGAGCAAGATGTTGATTTTGGGGAGTATGGGTACCTTGGCCGGCAGTGGTGTGCCCATTTTACAAGGACTAACGAAGATTATGACTGAGGCAGGATGGGTTCTGGAGCTGCCCGGGGGAGTGTGCGGGATGCATTGCTTCGAAAGCACCGTTACCCAAGGCAACGCACACACGCAGCGGAGCGTTCCTGCAGGTCCTGAGACACACGCGGAGTCCACGTCAGCGTCGCCAGCAAAGAAGAGAAAGCAGCCATTGGGACAATCGCACAACGGCAGCGTTGCTGGTAACCCCAGCTCTGCGAAGAAACAGAAACAGAAACCGTATCAAGTCAAGGGAGTCATACGACAGCCCGGCAAAGTGATTCGAGGGAATGCTCTTGTCGGCGGTCGCAGTGACGGTCTTGGAAAGTTCTTGGATAATAGGCCAGTCATGCGCGACGTGCTTAACCAGCTCTCGCTCGATGGCGTGGACAAGGAGAATGCCGACTCGCAGGATCACAGGGCCACGGATATGTTTGAGGATATGGATGCGGATTTTGATGCAACGGACTTTGAAGTATATTGATCATGGATGGGTGTGATAGATATAGCGTAGCATCGGCGGGCATAGGATACCGTACTGTACTGGCATTTGTTGCTTTTGGATCAGGCGCTGCCGGTGCGAACAGTTTTGCTGGTGAGAAGCGACGGCATGGCGCGGAATTGGTGGCAGGTAGAGTACCTTCGCAAGGCATGGTATGTAGCTATGTGAAAGATACAGTATCATCCGTCGTAGTGTCTGGCTCTCGAGTAGCTTCAAGTATATTTACAGGACCGATTCACCTGGCAGTCGCGAAAGGAGGTGACCCGGCGAGTGAGTGGGAAGACATTGTTGACGTCGATCATCTGCCCAGATTTACACCCAAGGCAGCACTCGCTTATGTACTGGCGACAGTCTAAATTACCTATCGTGACTTGTGTCACTGGCGACTATTCCGTCGGCGTCAACATCGCGTGCCATGGCGACTGGAGAGTACTATCATGGTCAACGACGCAGCTACGCCGGCGCCCTCTGCACCGTCCGCTACTTCGGTCCTCTCCGCAACGCAAAGGGCGAGTGGCTCGGCGTGGAATGGGATGATCCCAGTCGCGGGAAGCATGATGGGCAACATGAAGGGAGGCGAGTCTTCCGGTGTCTTTCATCTTCACCTACTGCTGCGTCCTTCCTGCGGCCGTCCAGGAAGCCGGACCAGGAGAGAACGCTCCTGGAGGCGATCAAATTCAAATACGCCCCGAGTAGCGTCCCCGGTCGTCACGATGTGGACGCTGCAATTGCAATCTCCGGAAAGGTCGTCGAAGAGGTCGGTTTCGAGCGCATCCAGGAGCAGCTGTCGGTGCTCGCCGACTTAAAGATCGTGCTCGTCGACGAGTTGGTCCTCTCGGGCATCGCGCCGCGTGCCGCCTCAGCAGAAGACATCCGCAAGGCCCAACACGACCTCGCTCAGACGTGCCCGAACATCACAGAGCTGGACGTGGGCTGGAACGTCGTCGAGACCTGGCAAGATGTGCTGGACATGTGCGCGCCTCTGCGCAAGCTGAAGATCTTGAAAGCAGGCGGCCTGCGGCTACGGGACTTCAAGGCGAGAGTTCCAAGGGAGCATCCCTTGCGGAGCATCAACGAGCTGTACCTCAATGAGAATCTGCTCACGCCGGACCAGATCGTCGAGATCCTGTTCTTCGAGAGACATTGCAACTTTGAGTCTCTGCGGACTCTGTCCCTATCGCTCAACGACCTCACCTCGCTCGACTTTGACGCCAGCGCCGCCGACGACGACTGGCGGCGATGCTCATCCGTCACGAGCGTCATCCTTGACAACAACAAGTTCACCCGTCTATCCTTCCTACCGACATTGTTTGGCCTGTTCCCGTACCTGACGTCGCTCTCGCTGCAAGGGAACACCGTCTCCGCGGTCGGCCTGGACTCGGCGGCGTCCTTCTCGACGCTCGAAACCTTGAACCTAGCAGGCAATCGCATTCAGGAGTACTCATTTCTCGACCACCTGCCCATCCTCTTTCCAAACCTCACGTCTCTCCGCATCTCACGGAACCCTCTATACGAGCCGGTGAACGACCAAGACGAGGCAGACGGGTCCGCGGCGGGTGCTCGACGCTCACACGCTCGCAGTTCCACCTCAGACTCGACGTCCTACTACTTGACTCTCGCACGAATCCCGGGCCTAAAGTCATTGAACTACACCACCATCACCCCGCGCGACCGCGAAGAAGGCGAGATTTACTACCTCTCTGTCGCAGAGAAAGAAATCAAAACCATCCTGGCAGGCACCGATCAAGCCAGTGGCAACACTACGACAGACAGACTCTCTCTAGCCCGTCAGAAACACCCACTATACTCGACCCTGTGCGCAAAATACGACCGCGACGATCTCCTCCAGATATACGTGCAAACCCAATCTTCGGCCCCGACTTCTTCGCTGCCCGCCGCCGACGACGACGACCCCAAGAACCACACGCACACCCACACGCACACCCACACCCACACGCACACCCACACCCACTACGCCCCCGGCGCGCTCGGCTCCCGTCTAGTCGACGCATTCTTCTACATTCCATCCCGCGCGGCCGGTTCCGCTGGGGCCACATCCCCGCCGCCTCCATTCCACCGCCTCCTCCCCACCACGATCTCCGTCTTCCGCGTCAAATCGCTGGTGGCACGGCACTTTGGGCTCCCCGCGCTGAGTTTCGCGCTGGTATACGAATCTCACGAATACGATCCCGTCGAACCAATCCACAGCACGAGAAACACGGGCCTCGGGACTTGGGGCAAAGAATCGTGGGACGGGTGGGGTGATTGGGACGTCGATCAGTCGGAGGACGACGACAACGAGGAGGAGGAGGAGGAGGAGGAGCAGGAGGAGAGAAGCGAGCATCGCCCGTTGCGCGGAGGCGGCGACACTAAGACTGAAAGTGAACGTGAAAGTGACAGAGCAGACGCCGAGGCTTCCATGCCCATGTTCATCGTCCGCGAGGGCCACCGGTTCAAGAAACGTGAGACCTACATCTTGGATGGGATGAGGCCGTGGGGGGACTTTTTGGATGTGGATGATCCTGCTCCTCCTCTTCCTCCTCCTGCTTCGGCCCCTGGCCGGACGAGGCGGAGGAGGGATGTTAGGGTGCGTGTGGAGCTTGGGCCGAAATCAGAACCGAAGTGCAAGGGAAGATAGCAATGCATAGCATAGCGGAGCAGAGTGTCACATATAATAGAATAGCACAGTACAGGGTCACACTCCAAGCAAGACCTTGGATTTGAGCTCGAGTTCCAGGTCGAAGCTCTAGGACGTTGTTTACAGACTGAACTATTTGTACATGTCCTGGCGGTGGCACCAGGTGGAGAAGTAGAAGGGGACCCCAGTACTGTGTAGAGTTGAGGGAATGAACCTGACGGACCGTGGGGACGGACATTAGACAGCCAGATCGAGCGCCCGCCCATCCTTCCACCCACGTATGTCACATGGAATATTTTCGAGACGGCGGGCTGCTAATTAAGGGTGTGGCGCTTGCCTCTTTGAAGGGCGATCTCTAGTCGTCATCTAAATTCCCAATCAAGACTTTCTCCTTCCTCAGGTCTATCGGGTCGGGCACGTTCGGCTTCTCGACTCCGCTGGCAAGCCTGTTTGCTCGCGCTTCTTCTTCGGGTTGCAGGTCGAACTTCCTCATGCGGGACCCTATCCTCTCGTCGATGACAATGTCGGCTGTCCAGATGGGTTCCGACGTGTCGTCTTCTTTCCGCGGCTTACGCACGGATTTGTGCCATTTCGACTCTTCATCGATGAGCAGGGACTGTTGTTCCCAGCTGACCTGGCTGTGGCTGTTCCCGGATGGGGGTGGGAAAGACGATGTGGGCGAAGCGTCTGATTCCGGAGCTCTCGTGGCTACGGGGTCGATGTCTGATGGAGTATCAGAAAAGGAGGAGAAAGAAGAGCCTTGCTCGTACGGCCGACTCGCGGCCAGGACAATGGCTGCCGTCTCCCGTCCAATCCTGTCGGCCAGATGTCGACGGGTGAGGAAGTTGTAGATTCTTTGCGGAGTCTTGAGGAAGCCGAGGAGGTGTTGTTGATGGATGGGTTGGGAGGGTTCGAATATACTGGGTGTATTTACGGATGGGGTAGCGGAGGCATATTTGTCAATGGGAAGGTATGATGGCGGAGGATATGGTTTCTTCTTCTCCTCCGCTTTGGTCTCTTCTTCTTCTGGTGTCTTTTCTGATTCGGGTTTCGCTATGTCGGAGGTCTCGGTCGTTGGCGAGGGATCGTCTGTTCGAGCTTTGGTAGGCGGATGTACGGGTGAGGCTTCGACTTCAGAGAGCGGAGGGGCAGGTTCGGTGATAGGCCCGAGCCAGCCTTCATGCAGTCCTCTAATGTACTCCTTCCATGTGTGTCGGCCCAGAACTAGGTCTCCGCGGACCCCGGACTCGGGCAGGATGTGCATTTTCTCCCGCACCATATCGATCGCAGCCTCAGCGTCCATCTCTGGTTCTATGTCATCGGCACCTTTCTCGCCGCGTTTCCGCCGCAGTCTTCTTATTTGCTCTGCTGTGCCGTACCGCACGTCTCCTTCTTTTCGCCCTTCAATCACGTCGTAATCCATCGCGGCGGCCACCAGCACCGGCTTCACGTACTCTTTGAAGTATTGCCGCGACGGTCTGATGCCATCACCTGGGGGGGCGGATATGAAGACGGTCAGCTTGCGTGGCATCTGATTGACCGGCAGAGGCTCTTGGGCGACATGTGCTACCAGGTCGCACCACTTCTGTTGAGCCTTCTTCTTCTCCCTTTTATCGTAGACGACAGCTGCGGTCCAGGAGCCGACAATGGCGAGAAAGATCATCCAGTTCCGCGATGGCAGTCTCAGCCGAACGTTGGGCATACCTATGGCTCGTTAACAATGCCGGCCACACCTCGAGTCTCGACACAACTGACCCATCATCCGAAAGACGGGATTCTGCTTCGGCGGAGGTTTGGGCGCTTCATACTTGACACCCTCTGGTAGACTTTCAGGCTTGGGAGGGGTCTGGCTGTCCGCCATGGCGATGAGGCAGCACCGGGGCTATTTGCGGAGCAGGCTCAGCTCGTGGTCAAGCTGGACAAGTGCACGTTACGTGCGTGCACGCGGATGAGTTCGACCAGAAAAAAAGTGACAGCCGGATATGTCACTCCGACGGCGGCCTGTGAGTGGTTCCGGGGGACCTGCCAATTTCGGAAGCTGTCTTGTGCCCTCGCGCCTCTTTCCGTGGCGTCCTTAACCGCTGTCACGTGAGCGCATCTACAGTCAAATCGACTGATCAAACAACCAGCGTAAGAGGAAACCCCACCCTTGTGTTCTGACAGTCTTCTAAGCGACTTCTTCTGGCCCAACACAACCCCTTAGCCCGAGGCGATAGTTACCGTGGGACGAGTGTGCGGGTAGGTGTTCCGAAAGACTTCTCCCCGAGACACTGGCACACTGATTACCTGACCGACTCGAGTGGCTCCCCCCGTGTCTATGACCCATTGATTTGTGCTCTGTACACCTTTGAGCTCTTGGAAACTTCGTCTCATCCGGCGAGCCGTGCAATGTAGAACGAGAGCAAGCGAGATGTGACCATGCGAGCAGCCATATGGCATGCGTCGCGTACAGGGTGTTTCCATCTGTGTCAGCCCAGGGTAGCAGAGTGAGAACCAATCGCGTGTGGGTGCCTGACGATGAGCTCAAAGCTGCCACCCATTGGGACGAGACGGCAATGGATCCCCCCAGTCAAAGTTAGGGGAGTGCCTTTAAGCTTGACGTTAGTGAGCGGCTCCAGTTGGTCTTCTGCCCCTAATTCCAAACTGTAAACTGCTACCGATGCGCTGTAGTTGCACCCTATTTTTCCACGCCCTTTCCCAAACACTTCCTTCCTCCCTTGCTGGATCTACTGTCTGGCTCTTGCGTTCCCGCAGGCAGCATATATCGAGAGCGCCTGGCCGCCTTGCGCTTCCATTCCCGTGCCCGTGCCAGAAATCTTTACAGAGACAACAAGCGTTGAGCCAGTCAGTGACAATTAAAGTGAGAGAAAGGTGGGGGCAGTACACCGACTCTTGTCGACCAAGGGTATTTCTCTGCACATTTCTCGGTGCAAGAAAGGCACCCTTTGACTCACTGCGACCCCCCTGACACTGTCGCTGCGGAAACAACGTCCACGACCATCGTTGACGTCGCAGTGAGCGCGCGCAGTCACAGAGATACCCCTGGCATTTGAGTCACCATGGACCACGACAATAACCGCCTACGACTGAACTTTCAGTTCGACAACCAACACAACTTTGACGCGGCCAACGCTCGAATGTACCCCACGACGCCCTCCACGTTCCCTCAGCCGATCTATGGCACTCAGCAGCACGAGTATGGTGGAGGCGCGCTATCGCCCAATCCTACGGCCAATACTGGCTATTTCCTGAACCAACAATTTCCCCCTCAATCACAGCAAGCTCAGTATCAGCAGCAATATGCGTATCAAGGACAACCCGGCCTCCAGTCTCCTCAACCGGCGTACCAAGCCAACTCGAGACCGTACGGGGGAAACACCAATACCGACGCAACAAGTGGTCTGATACAGCAGTTTTCGAACCAAGACTTGAGTGCCACACCACGTGGTAACGTCAATCGCACTCCGTCACCTGCAATGCCGCGTCCCCGAACGGCTGGTGAAGCAAGACAAGCACAGAATCCATACCAGGGCCACTTAGCCCCACCGATGCCCAGACCCTCGCCGAAACCAGAAGAGGAGGAGCAACCGAACCCACGCAGATATTCAGACAACGTTGTCAAGCGAGGCACTGCCGCGAAACAGTTGGTCAACAGCTTTTTCCAGGAGAACATTGAACGAGCACGTGACCGGAATAGTCGTGCGAAAGAGCTGGAGGCGATACTGAAGAATCCGAGCATCAGTGACCTTGAAAAGCAGAAGGAAATGAACACCCTTGCACAGAAAGAGGCACGCTTCCTGCGGTTCATCCGGACACGGGAGGTCCCTTCAAACTTTACAACCATCAAGGTCATTGGGAAAGGAGCATTCGGTGAAGTCAAACTGGTACAACGCAAGACCGACGGCAAGATCTATGCGCTGAAGTCTCTGATAAAGTCGGAAATGTTTAAGAAAGATCAACTGGCGCACGTCCGAGCAGAGCGTGATATTCTGGCTGATTCGAAAGACAACCCATGGCTGGTCAAGCTGCACGCTTCATTCCAGGACAACACCTACCTCTACATGCTGATGGAGTTCCTACCTGGTGGTGACTTGATGACCATGTTGATCAAGTATGAGATCTTCTCCGAAGACATTACGCGGTTCTACATGGCTGAGATCGTCATGGCCATTGAGGCCGTGCACAAACTCGGTTTCCTGCACCGGTAAGAGCCGCACGTCATTTGTGACCGGTCCATGCTAATACTTTATCTAGTGACATCAAACCCGACAACATTCTCCTGGACCGGGGTGGACACATCAAGTTGACCGATTTCGGTCTCTCCACGGGCGGGCGCAAGCAGCACGAGAACTCATACTACCAGGCGCTCCTGAAGGCCGGAACTGATAGCAAGTCAGGAAATCGCAACTCGATGGCATTGAACGAGCAGATCAACCTGACTGTCAGCAACCGAGGACTGGTGAACACATGGAGGAAATCACGTCGTCATATGGCGTATTCGACCGTGGGAACGCCGGATTACATTGCTCCTGAAATCTTCCTTGGCCAGGGCTACACCTATCTGTGTGATTGGTGGTCCGTTGGAGCGATCATGTTTGAGTGCTTGGTGGGCTGGCCGCCCTTCTGCGCTGAGGACACGCATGACACCTACCGCAAGATCGTCAACTGGCGCGAGTCCTTATACTTCCCGGATGAGTTAGTTTTGGGAAGGGATGCTGAGGACATGATCAGAAGGTGAGTTGGCCACATTACACGGCTTAGAATGGTGCTAACTAGTGCAGCTTCCTTTGTGACGCGAATGATCGACTGGGCAAAGAAGGTGGAGCTCACGATGGGGCATCACAGATCAAGAAACACCCATTTTTCCGTGGTGTCGTCTGGGACCAATTGCGGAAGATTCGAGCGCCCTTTGAACCGAAACTGTCGTCGAACATTGATGTCAGCTACTTCCCTATCGACGAGATTCCACAAGAGGATAACAGCGCGGTGCACCGAGCGCA